TTCTGAAATGTTCTTTTCTTGGTTTGTTAATGATGATTGATAAACCTCTCTGAACCTCTTCCTTTCTCTTTGTTTTGATGTTGATGATGATCACCACTCTGAAACTTTATTGATTTATTTGACAAGCTTGAGTTTGTGGGCTTGCTGAGTTTGTAGTTTGAACTGCAAGCTTGATGATTTTTGTTTTGCAGTTTTGAAACTGCAGGTTTGGGAAAGTTGCAGTAGTTTGGCTAGCAGGTTTGTTGAGTTTGTATTTTTGGCTGGTTGCTTGTGATTTTGGTTACAGGTTGTGTGTTTCACAGTTTGGTTTGACAGGTTTTGGGCAAGCTTGAGTTTGTGGGCTTGCTGAGTTTGTAGTTTAAACTGCAAGCTTGATGATTTTTGTTTTGCAGTTTTGAAACTGCAGGTTTGGGCAAGTTGCAGTAGTTTGGCTAGCAGATTTTGCAGTTTGTTGTTGTTATGCAGGTTGGAGACTGCAGGCTTGAGTTGTAATAACAGGTTGGCTGTTTGGTTTATTTTCCAGTTTGAGGTGTTTGTTTACAGACTTGCTGTAGTTTATGCAGCTTGTGCAGGTTTTTGTGGCCAAGTATTTTCTTTTTTTTCTTAGACTGTTATGCAGTCCTTTCTTTTATATCTTCTTGCTCTTTTTTTTTGTTTTTGACAGCCTGCCTTAGCCAAACTGCAAACTTTTTCACTAGGTCCTCTCTTTCTCCCTCTCTCTCTCTCATAAGCACTTTTTTGCTTATTATATTATTTGTTATGAAAATTTTGCTGGCTAGAAAGTGATGATGGCTAGTACAAGCTCTTGGTTTATCAATTGGATTTACCTACTGCATTTTTCTGCTGTACTGTTATACTTTCTGCATTGTGTACTTTTGCTAGTTGGCTTACTTGACAATTTTGCATTCAGTTTGGGTTTGCCATGTTTAGTTAGCTTGCCATGCTTGGTTACTGCAGTTGGTATTCAGTTTGCAGTACAATTTGCTTTGTATGCAGCTTTGTATAGCATGGCCCATGTTTTTTTCATTTGAACCAAGTGTATGCTTGCATTTTATTTTTTACTTTTCTCTTTGTGAACCAAGAAGAGCAATCTTCTTGTGATTTGCAAAGAGAAAAAATAAAAACATGATGAATCAAATAGCATTCTGATTCCGGCCGGAGAACTTTAATGATGATTTTCTTTTCTTTCTTTTCATTTGAAAATTCTTGTACTAATTTTCTTTTCCTTTCTTCTTTTTCAGGTGAATGCAAACTTGGACGATAGAGGAAACAGAGGAAGCAAAAGACCTCGGGCGCGGGAGCAATTTAGGATTTAGATTTAGATTTATTTTCCAATTATTATGAACAATTATTATTGTAAATACTATAAGTTGTAAACTTACAATATTCAAATAATTCTTGTAACAATATTTGAAATGAATAAAAAATCTTTATCCAAAAGAATCTTTCTATTGTCACATATCTTGCCATTTTTCTTGCACCTTTACTTAATCATCTAAGTTTCTCACAATAAAAAATAATTGAAATTGCATTCCAATAATTCTAATCCAGATCACTTAAATCTCAAATAATCCAAAACTTTGCAGTTTCGTAACTTTGCAACAGCATTCCGATTAACACACGCATTGTATAGTTAAACAAACAAGCATTCCATTAAATGACAAACCTTTCATTCCATTAACAAGCAGATGTCTTGATATTCCAAATAACAATCTCAGCGCCTGTTTCAGATAATCAGGCTTTGAGAACAATCAGTTAACCTTTCAGCAAACTTTGAAAAATACATATAGTTTCTGTGGATTCAATTTCTTCTGAGAGGTGCGAGAGAAAAAACCCTAATTCTTGATTTGTTTCCAAGGAAAGGTCTGCTTGATCAATTCCTGAGCCAATCTCAAAAATCAGAGAAAACCCTAGGGTTGTGATTTCTTGTGAAAAAGGGAGGGCAAATTTTGGGGTACAACACTATGTATAACATTAGTTAAGATTTTATAACTATATTCTAAAAAAATTATTACTTATTAGACTAACGTCTATTAAATTGTGAGGTTTCATAACTTCATAAAATTGATATTATTATATAAAAATTTGAGAATAGAAAATAATAAAATTTCAGAAATATAATGTAACTATTATTTGTGTTACAAATTTCGAAGAACTTCTAGGTATATGTCATTTAAATCAGATTAGCATACTTACTCTCTTTAAGATTTCAATTTCTAAACATTGAAAAATTGAATAGTTGTACATTGATACAATTAATCTTGATAGACTATGTTATGGGAGTCGTCCATAAGCCAAAAAAAGAAAGGTTAAATCATCTTTTCAAAGTCATTCCATTAAGGCATTAAAAGTACAATGTAATTTTGCTTTAGAATACCTCATTGGATCCACCTTATACATTATTGTCTATATTTAGATGTCATCAGACAGTCTCTTGCACTCTACGCTGAAAAACAAGGGACGTTCATAATTGTCTCTCATATATAAGGCATCCCACGTAAACTATATGTATTCTCTAAACTATAACTCACATTTACTCTCAATTCTCTTAATCAGTTAGGCATTGGAGTGCTAATTTGTAGGTATACCCTCATAATGTCGCATCAAAGATCTGATCCACTACATAAAGACTATACTTCATTGTTTCATCAATCAGTTTTATCCTGGTCATTTGTCGATGAAATTTTATTCCTTTATTTGATCGTCTTCACTGAAGCAGTTAGTGTCGTCCTCATAAAAAATGCTCCTCAAAGTTTCTTGGATGAAATAATGATTAACCTTAGAGCTTCATACTCAGCTTGATTATTGGTAATTGTAAGAAACTATGAGGAGCCTGAGTATCAAAATCCCCAAAGTAATAATGACAATAGTAGAATGTGCCTCACCAATTTCCTGAATCTCTTCCATTGTAACATAGATCGATCAAAGACTTTGTATATAAGAGGCTTGTCACCCTCTCTGGTAAAATGCCTCGAAGGGGAAGAAGCCATATACACTCTTGTTGAGGTACACGAAGGAATAGTCAGACAACACTTGGGATCCCAAGCTCTAGCAAAAATAATCTCAGAATTGAGTATTATTGGTCGTCCATCATCCAAGACGCCAAAGATTATGTGAAGAAGTGCGGCTAGTGCCAAAGACTCAAAGATGTTCATAACACTACTCTATCTGAGTTACAAGTTTTGACATTGTCATTGCGTTACTAGCAATGGGGCATGGACATCCTCGATCGCTTTCCTCTAGCTCTGGGTCAATTAAAATTTCTAATTAAAAAGGTGGATTACTTTATAAAGTGGGTCGAAGTAGAGTTCTTGGCAAATACCATTGATGTCAACATTTTGAAATTTCTATAAATTTTTTTTTTGGAAAGGTGTGAAATCCCTCAGCCTACGTGATAGATAATGTGGCATAATTCACATACAAAAGCTTGAAAATCTATTAGAATACTTGAAAATCAAGCAACACTTCAACTAGTTTGAACACCCTCAGAGCAACAGGCAAGCGGAAGCAACAAATTGGGTTATGTTGAGAGGATTGAAAACAATGTTGGAAGCAGCTAAGGGAGACTAGGCAAAAGATCTCTTACATGTTATTTGGTCTTATAGGACTACATTGTATTAAACAAAGGATGAGACGCCATTTTTACTCACTTATGGGACTGCAGTCGTAATCCCTGTTGAAATAGGAAAATTGAGCTGGAGAACAACTCATCATCTACCAAAAGGATAAAATTCACAAGTTATTTGAGAGGAGTTGGACCTTTTTGGAATAGAGATGAGTTTTAATTTCCCTCATGAGCGGTGTTGTAAAGTAAGCAGATATGGTCAAATACAATAAGTGAGTCCGATCTCGAAGTTCCAGTTGGGATACCTTGTATTGAGATGAGCCTCTGTTAGAGGGAAGAATGTCAGAGATGGAAAACTTTTCCCCTAACTAGAATTGGTCGTACGGGGTCACGGCTAACACGAGAAACAAATATTATACTCTAGAGACTCTACCTAGAGAATCAATCCCAAGGGCGTTGAACGCTCTCAAGCTCAAACGGTATTTTAGTAAAATTTTCATTAAATTGTCCGAATACAAAATGGAAATGATTACCGAATGTAATACTTTTGATATAAATAAATACAACACTTTTGTTGAAATTGTGGGGTTGTCTTTCCTAAGATAAGAACAAGATACATAATAAATAAGACGCACAAAGCCGGAGCTTGCACACCCCCTCTTTATAGCAAGCCACTCCAAAGTGCGGGCGGTAGAGTTCTGGATACGCCAGCCTTGAACTAGGTCTTCACCAGGAAGCAAGAAGGAGAACCAACCCTTGGTAAGGAACAGTCGTCAGAGATATCATAGCATGCTTTAGCCTCTAACCCATAGTACAAATATGACGAAATAAAACCATGAAAGATTCCACGATGAAGTAAAATCATGGAAGGTTACATGATGGCATAAAATAATGAGAAGATTACATGACGAAATAAACTCATGAAAGGTTATATAATGAAATAGAATCATAGAAGATCGCATGATGAAATAAAATCATGAAAGACTATGTGGCGAATAAAGCCACGCAAAGCAAAGGAAAAATGTATCGTTCTCTCATTCCAATCTTCATCTTTTCATCAATTGTCAATAGTGCAAAGTGTGAGCGGAAGAACAAAGCTTAAGCAAAATCGGGTGTATCATTCAAGATAAGAGAGTGATTGTGCTCTTGCTGGAGTGTTTTGTTCCAACATAAAAGAAAAACAATACCATATATATGTACATAAACAACACTAATTTATCTTGGATCATACTGTTGGGCAACTAATTGATGCCTTTGAACACAGAAATATTACAACATGTGCATGTAGCTAGCAAGCTAGGGATGCATCAACTGCAATACTCACTCATTCTTTCTTAATTACAAACTATAATGTATTTATTATATATTATAATACAAAAGTTCTATTTAAGTAACTTTGTTAGATCTTGTATTGCAACCTTGTGTGTTGATGAGATCATCTTCTAAAGCTTCCAGGGGCAGAAGATGCTTTTACTTCAGAGTTAAAATCTTCATCTGGAAGTTTGACAGCAGTATAGGCACCTGCCCCAGCTAAAGCTCCAAGAATAGGAGCTATGATATATAGCCATATGCCTTTGTAGTTGTTTGCAGCAATTGCTGGCCCCAATGTTCTCACTGGATTCATTGAACCTCCAGTTGCAGGCCTTCAGTAACAATATCAAAACAATAAGTACTTCATTTTGGAAAACAATGCCTAAATAATTTTTTCACTTTTTAAATTTCTCAAAATTGGAACATACCCAGCAATGAGTATGTTGAGCATGACGGTGGCTCCCACCGCAATTCCGGCAAGCTCTCCCACCTGTATCATGTTACCATATCTAAATCAGACAATATTTCGTATTCGCATTGACGCAGACTTGAGATTGATTGGAACAAATCTTTTATCAAATTTTTCTTGAACTATTGGTGATTATTTTTTTTCTCCATATATAAGAGACAGATGGAGTATGTGTTTCTACATATTCGGTATGGATATTATTCCATATATGCCTATTTGTTATTAGGTGCAACAATTAAGATTCCAAATCCCACTTGTCTTCAATTAGTGCTACTGTATAAAGACAAATATCTCACTTGCATGTTCACTCATACAATCAGTGGTCACAAAATAATGAACTTTATATCCATTTAGGACAAAAGCTGCTCAATATCTTTTCTATCGACTCTCACCTCATCTTACCCTTTTGGATTTATGTGTCAAACTTCCTGTACCACGTTGCCTTGGTCGAATCATATATATATATATATATATATATATATCAAATATATTATAAAATTATAGAGGTTCTGTGTAAGGTAATCTGAATTGCACACTCTCAAAGATCGCTCTGATATACGTATAGTTAAAATTTTATAATAAAATATGGATGGAAGTGATAAAATATACTCACAGCTCTTGTGTCGGTTGCAACCGCAGTGACAACAAACATGAGATTAAAGCTGATAATGAACTCTAAAGCAAAAGCTGGGCCATATTCAACTGAAGGAACGGTGACTCCACCATTCATGAATGGATGAAAAACTCCTTTCAGACTAAAAGCAGCACATATTGAAGCCAAAACTTGTGCACCAATATACAAAGGCACCTACAATTAATTAATTCACAAAATTCAAAATAAGCACTTATGTGAAAAATGAATTAGGATATGAATTAGAGATTTTTTTATATTTTTTTACATTTTTCCATGGAAAGTGCTTTAATGCAGCGAATGAAATGGTGACAGCAGGATTGAGATGAGCACCAGAAATGTGACCGGTTGATAAAATTATGATCATGACAGCAAGTCCAGTAGCTCCGGCACAGCCAATTAGTGTCTCTGAATTATGTGTCTCTTGGTTCACAATTGCAGTGGCTATTCCAGCAAACATTAAAATATATGTGCCTATAAACTCTGCTCCAACCTGATAATTACATTAATTAATACATCAACAAATAATCAGATATATCAGTTATTCAATATACAAATAAAATGTATAATAAGATATATAAGTTATTCAATATGCAAATAAAATATATAATCAGATATATCAGTTATTCAATATGCAAATAAAATATATAATCAGATATATCAGTTATTCAATATGCAAATAAAATGAACCTTTTTGGCGAGAGGGACGGGAGGGGGTGGCAAAGAGCAAGAGACTTGAGGCAAGGCACCATCTTCCAAAGTCCATTCTTTGACACTAAAACATTTCAAACTCTTGAGTAATGAGTTGCTTCTACCATTTCCATTTCTTTCTGATTTGAATCCACCAAAAAGAGGAGCACCAGGAGTACCTGGTGTTGCTGGAGTAGAAGGTACTGATGGGATTTCTTCACTGTCCATATTCTAATTAATCACTCTGAAATTAAGTAATAAAATAAAGTAAAACAAAGTTTAGAGAAATGGCCTTGAGATTGATACTGAAGTTGTTTGTCTTAATGTGTTAATTGGGATGAGAGTTCAAAACTAAGGTAACATGTATATATAGAAAAATGAGATAGGTGGTGGGGTATCAATTAACGCTTTCTTAAGAAGGTGAGTATGTACATAAAAGTGTATACTCCATACTCATATGGGACATTGGCTTGTTTGGTTCATTTTTAAAATAAAATAAAATAAAAAGATTTTTATAATAAACATATTTTAGTTTAAAAAATATTTCAAACGAAAAATTGATTTAAAAAGTAACTTATATAGAATATTATTTTAATATTTAATATCATTTTTTATGAATATTAATATTTTAAAAATTTATTTAAATTAAAACTATTTATTATTTTTTCAAATTATATAATTTTATATGTATTTTAATCTTCGCTAAAATGGATACTTATATTATTAGATATAAAAACTAATCTTTTCATATATAAAAGATAAAATAAACTTATATTTTTTTAAAATCTTAAAGAATTGGGCCTATATACATGTTGAGAGATTGAGATAGATAATAAAATATGTATGATTGTTAGACGTAATTCATACACATAAGTTTTTGTTAGAGTTTGAAGTTTTTGAGTCTGTTAGTCATAAGCAATAGCTTCTGAATGTGTTAGTTAGAAGTTGTAAGCTTTTGAAACTATTTAGTCAGATGCAGTAATTAGATGTTTTCTAAAAGCTACTCTTAATTGTTAGCTTAGCTATTAATCATACTTTTGTATGTGCATATGTAACAGTTTATTTTGTGTATTTAAACAAGTTTGTAGCTAGGGTTTTTGTAAGATTTTATAATAGAGTTTCTTTCTTAACAAGTTTGTTGTAACTATTTTTCTCTCTCTTGTCATTCTCTCACTCTTTTTTTTTCCATCTTCATCTTCATCTTCAACCTTGTGCACCAATAATTGGTATCTAGATGCCTGGTTCGATTCACAGAGAAACACGAGTGTACGTGAGGCGTGTGTAATTGATTTTGTTTTTCTTGAATTTATGTTGAATTCACGATCGGAATAGTAACATAATTGTATTTCTTGATTTTGCGAGATCGAGAAACATGAGTGTTTGGTGAGATATGAGATATGTTTGAGTTTTTAGAGCATAAGAACAAAGATGAACGACATAAATAGTTTGAATATAAAGCTTCGGGTGTTTGATGGAAAGAATTGGAATCGATGGATGATTCAAATGTTGTGTTGTTTGGTGCTCAAGACGTTCTTGATCTTGTCATCGAAGGTTATGTTCCGGTTACAGCGGATGTGACAGAGGAACAAAAAAATACGCAAAGAGATACGAGGAAGAAAGATCATAAAATGTTGTTCTACATCCATCACTGTGTGAATGTGAATGTGTTTGAGAAAATTGATGATTCGGCGATAGCGAAGGCTGCATGAGATATACTGTCACGGTGCTACAACAATGATACGTTAGTGAATAAGGTGAAACTTCAATCTCTACGTAAGCAGTATAAGAATCTCAACATGAAGAACAACGAGTAAGTACCATATTACATCTCTAGAGTGATTCTAATCACAAATGAGATGAAATTGTATGGAGAAACTCTTTTTGAACAAGTAATCATTGATAAGATATTGAGATCTCTTACTCCTCAATTTGATTACATTGTTAGAAATTGAACATTCTAAAAATCTGAACACCATGAAAATTGAAGAGTTGCAAAGTAGTCTAGAGGCACAAGAGTTGCGTCTAACTGAGAGAACCTCTGAGAGAGAGGTAGAGCGGGCTCTAAAGGCATCTTCTAGTAGGAAATATCAGAAGCAGTGTTCGTCAGAGGCCAAGAAGAGACATGGTGGTTCTCAGAAGTCAGAAGTCTCGAATTCTAATGAGAAGAAACATCAGAAGGGAAGGGGGAAGTTTGACAAGAAGAAGGTTCAATGCTATTGTTGTAAGCAGTTTGGACATTTTGCTTAGGAATGTTGGTCAAACAAGGAAAGGAAATCAAAAGAAGAAAACATAGCCAGAGGAGATTCTTATTATGAACATATGTTATTAATGGCTTTTGAGTCTAATGATAGGTATTTGGTAGACTGTTGGTACATGGACACTGGTTGCTCAAATCACTTACTGGAAACAAACAATGATTGGTTAATTTTGACTCCAGAAAGAGGACAGAGATCAGATGTGTTGATGATAAGTACCTTAATGCAGAAGGTATGTGAAATGTCAAAGTCAGAGTGAAGAATGGAAGAACTATTTTGATCAAAGACGTTTGGTATGTTCCTGGAATGAAGAGCAATCTAATGAGTGTAGGTCACCTCATTGAGAAAGGTTTCTCAATTACTATGAAGAATAATCTCTTGAATTTGTATGACTGCAATCAAAAGTTGATTATGCAATCTGAGCAGGAAAATAACAGAACATTTAAGGTGAATGTGGAGACATCTGAGACTAAATGCCTTAGTACAGAAGGCACCGAAGGTGACATTGAGTTGTGGTATAAGAGATTGGGACATCTGAACTTCATAAGTTTATGGAATATGATTTCTAAGAAGCTGGTACATGGAATTCTGAAGATTGTGAAGCCTGAGAAGTCATGTGAGGTATGCATGAAAGACAAGCAACCCAGATTTCCATTTGCGTCAGAAGTATCCCCAAGAGCAAAGAATGCTTTGAGAGTAGAGCATTATGATGTATGTGGACCATTTCCAGTACCTTCACTTAGAGGAAACAAGTACTTTATGTCTTTTATGGATGATTTGAAAAGAATAACATGGATAACACTCATCAAGTTTACGCATGAGGTGTTTACAGAGTTCCAAAAGTTTAAGGTGAAGGCTGAGAAATAGAGTGGTCAGAAGCTAAAAGTTCTCAAAACTGATAGTGGAGGTGAGTATAACTCTACAGAGTTCCATATGTTCTATGAGGAAAATAGAATTTAGCATGAGGTTACTGCTTCATACACTCCTCAACACAATAGTCTTTCTGAAAGAAGAAATATAACTTTGCTTGATATGATAAGGAGCATGCTGAAAGAGAAAAACCTGCCTCACAACTTATGGAGAGAAGTTGTTTCCACTTCAACGTATGTGCTCAATAGTTGTCCAACGAAGAAGCTAAAGGAAACTATTCCTTTAGAGAAGTAGATTGGAGATAAGAAAAGTGTGAGTCATTTGAAGGTATTTGGTTCAGTTTGTTACAAACATTTTCCAAATGCTAAGAGAAAGAATTCGGATGATAGAAGCAAAGTAATGTTTTTGATTGGGTACCATAGTACAGGTACGTACAAGATTTATTGTCCAATCACTAATAAAATTGAAGTCAACAAAGGCGTCATTGTGAAGAAGTCAGAAGCATGGGATTAGATCAAGTCTCAATCTAACTCTGGTATAGTTTTAACACTTGAGGTGACTTCTGAAGATAGTTTAGAATCTAAAGATTCTGAAGATGAGTCAGAGTTAGAAGGAGATTGTGAAGACGAGTCATAATCAGAAGATGATTTTGATTCTGAAGGTGAATTTGATTCAAATCCAGATTCTAATGATGATCTAGAATCTAGTGGTCATGACTTTGAAGGTGGACCTTCTAAAGGAGGAGTTTTTGGAGGAAGTCCAGAAGGTGATATGATTCCAGAATCATAAGGAGATTCTGAACAAGTCCAAATGCCATAAAGAACTAGACAAATACCAAGGAGATTTGCATAGTTTGACATGTTGCACAATATTGAAGTAGACTCTGAGGGAGAATCCATTCAGAGTGCCATGTTAGTAGACTTTGAACCAATTAGTGTTGAAGAAGCTCTCAAAAATAAAGTATGGCTAAAGGCCATGAAATAATAACTTGACGTCATAGAAATAAATAAGACTTGAAAGTTGACTAAGCTTCGAAAGGGGAAGAAATCCATCAACGTCAGGTGGGCTTCCAAGATAAAGTTGAAGCCAGATTGATCAATTGGAAAACACAAAGCAATGTTAGTATCTAGAGATTTTTTACAAAAATCTAGACTAAATTACTTTGAGGTGTTTGTGCCTGTAGCTAGGCATGAAACGATTAGATTGGTGGTTGTTATAACTGCTAATAGAAATTAGTCTTTGATACATCTGGATGTGAAATCTGCATTTATGAACGATCCATTAAAATAAGAGGTATAAGTGTCACAACCTCCTATATTTGTGATAAATAATCGTGAAGGGACGGTGTACAGGTTACATAAAGCATTGTATGGACTAAAACAAGCTCCTAGAACTTAGAATCTTAAAATTGATTCATTTTTCAAGCTGCAAATATTCAGAAAGTGTGAGATGGATATGGCATTTTTGTTCAGCATACTTATGGAGGTAACATGATTCTGGTTTGTCTCTATCTTGATGACCTATTGCTAACAAAGAGTTGTCCAGAAGAGATAGTCAAGTTCAAGAAGGTGTTGATGAATGAGTTTGAGATGACTGATATGTGAAATATGGTATATTTTCTAAGGATGGAGATTTTGTATTATGAGAAGGGTATTATTTTGCATTAGCTAAAGTATGAAATTGAGCTTCTGAAGAGATTTGAGTTAAAAAATTACAAGACTACAATCACATATGGTGAGATGAATCACAAGCTAGATTTTGATGATGAGGATGGTGATGTAGATGCTACACCTTTTAAACAGTTGGTTGGCTCATTGAGATATTTGTGTATCACCGGACTTGGAATTTTCTATGCGGTTAGAATGGTGGGTATGTTTATGAACAAACAAAAGTGGATACATTGCCAAGATAATGTCAGGATAGTGAGGTATATTAAAAGGACTCTATGGTATTTAGTGTTGTTCCCTTCTGGTGTTAAAACTAACATAGAGCTGGTATGCTATTCAGACTCTGATTGGTATAGAGACAGAGTTGACATAAGAAGCACTTCTGGATAATTTTCCAAGTATTTGGGAAGTCCCATTTCTTGGCGCTCCAAGAAGC